TGTGTTGTGAGCATCCACTCTGATTAGACCACACAACTGTGTTTATTTTTTTTTTTTGGGAGGGGGGGAGTGCGGGGGTCGTCCAAATTGGACGTTCAAACTAAGTATACGTCCTTGTAAACCGATGCAATCGTGGCCGGCCTCAGTAGATCTGAACTCTGAGTTTCAGAACTTCAATCTGTCAAAGCATATGTATCTGTTGCACCTAACTGAACTTGTACTAATTGAATTAGGTAACTGCACAGCGCGCAGACGACCGGGTATTGGAATACAGTCCAATGAGGCACTCTCAGCTCTGCAACGGAGTACAACTCCGATGAATTATTACAACGGAATTACCACGTGCCGGAAGCGTAAAGTGTAGAATGTCTGGGTTTGTTCTAGTTATTTTGAAGCGTGCGACCCGATTCCGGTCTCTGCTTCGCGGACACATACTTAGGCGAAAAAAACAGGCGGTTTTCAGCTCGATTTGTTGGTAAACCTTGACATTACAAGCTCCGTCCTAGATGAAGTTTGAGCTTCTCTTCATTTTACTGGGCGGTGGTTGAGACTCGGAGCATTGGTTAGTTGAATGGCCAGAAGGACTGATCGAAGAATATGGAGGCGGTGTGGTCGGGAGTTGATGAANACTGCACAGCGCGCAGACGACCGGGTATTGGAATACAGTCCAATGAGGCACTCTCAGCTCTGCAACGGAGTACAACTCCGATGAATTATTACAACGGAATTACCACGTGCCGGAAGCGTAAAGTGTAGAATGTCTGGGTTTGTTCTAGTTATTTTGAAGCGTGCGACCCGATTCCGTCCGGTCTCTCGCGGACCCATACTTAGGCGAAAAAAAACAGGCGGTTTTCAGCTCGATTTGTTGGTAAACCTTGACATTACAAGCTCCGTCCTAGATGAAGTTTGAGCTTCTCTTCATTTTACTGGGCGGTGGTTGAGACTCGGAGCATTGGTTAGTTGAATGGCCAGAAGGACTGATCGAAGAATATGGAGGCGGTGTGGTCGGGAGTTGATGAACGAAGAGCTGCAAGGAAGTGCAACTTCCCTCCCATTTATCCAAAGTGAGGTAGAGCTTTCCTTTCGCGGTATTCCACTTTGACCTTTTAGCCTGCAGGGCTAAGGCTGCTCGCAAGCTCGACCATCACGTCAAGGCTGCAGCAAAAATGGGATAAGTGGTGCTAACAACAGTCGCAGGGCGTTATGGTTCGCGTGGTCTAGATGAGTTCATTGTCTCTTACCACTAAGTGGCGCTCTAAACTAATGTACTAGTACTGTACAGCTTTCAGTTTCCCCCTCTGGAGCCAAAAACATGAAGGCACACCTATTTAGGGGCACCCTGTTCTGAGCTTCTGTGCCTCGGTCCGAGTCAGCGTCATAGTAGGGCTTCTTTGCAAACCTTTACAGTCACACCTGATCACTTTCTGGGGGAACCGGCGACTAGACAACGGCAATATTGAGTCATATGCGTACTCACTCTCGGAACAAGCCTGGAGACCCTCACCCCACACCCGGCAAGGTCTATCATCACCTCGATAGGGTAAGCGATCCGTTGCACACCGGCGATCAGCGGGACAAGTCGGCAAGTCACAAAGTCTACAGAAACCAACTCCTGTGCTCTGAGACTGTCGTCTTGGTTGCGGCTCACCATCCTCCATAACCTACCGCAGGCAGTCCGGGACGGATTTTGAGTATCGGCGCAACAGGCTTGGCCATTGGACAACCAAATGCTCAGTGACATCCATAGGTCTTCGAGTTTCCAACAGCTGCAGTTTGTTCATCGCCCGGTTATATTGTTTCCGCAGGCCATTGAGGGGTGATGGTGGTGGCTTGGAAGCAAGTATAAGGGGCATTTCTCTCTCCTGTCAATTCTAATCTAACACCCACCGTAGGCAGATGGAGGACTGACCTAAGGAAATATCTATGGATGACTCCGAGACACCTTTGTGGTGTTCCCGGTTTTTTAGGTGAATGTTGACGTTCTCCAGATTGTTGTTGATCGCATTGCCAAATTGGACAGTCCCGGATTGTGCGTGGATAGTTCAGTGTGGTTGCTAGACAGCCACTGGGCCGTGAGGTAAGAGCCAAACTATGGATCCATGCGGTGCAGTATTTTCAGGTCGTGACGGGATCTTTGCGCCAGTAAGGAGGGAGCCTACTATGCGGCATTGTTCACGCGAGCCATACGATGTAATATGTGTCGGCTATTGGCTGGTAGTATCTATAACCAAAATACTCAGCTGTTACGTACGTGCTTCCTGGTACTTTAGATATATGGAAATAGCACAATATAACACCAGAACCGAACACAACTCTGGCCGATTGCATTTGTGCCACGATAATGAACTGCTTGCCCCTCATCTTCATGAACGAGCTAAACGGTTTATACGTAGGAGTGAACTGATCGCTTTTCGCAGGGGTATCGAATTCCGGTGCCCGGTATCCATGCCATATGTGTTCAGGGCGGTGTAGAGCTCGTACTTGCATGCCATAGTTGAATTGCTTTTAAAGGAATAACCAAAAACAGTTAGCTGCTTGTGTTCGGTAAACGAGGCCTGGATGACGGAATAACGAAATCCGCTGCGTCCTGGCGGAATATATATAACTGTAGTGCTCTTTCTCCGATTGTAGCACGAATACGCGTCCGCACTCGCGAAGTTTGGCCAGGCATGATGGTACGTCGTCTTCCACAACGGAAAACAACTATCAGGTACTTAACAGGATGCGTTGACACTTCCGGGGGTATTTATATATGTCCTCGGCAGTACGGACCTTTCCAAGTTCGTCAGCTGCAAACTGTCGTACTTCAGACGACCGCATTTCATATTTCAGCAAATCGGTGTACGTGCCCAACTCCCCCCGGTTAGCCGTCGGTTTACAGGTGGTTGGTCGTAGCAAGTTGGTCGTGGCAAGAGGTAACTAACAAGTAGTCCTTGTACCTTGGATAAAACCGGACCGGTCAACCCATACTTCGCCTACTGTTTGTCCTTAGGAGAGCGTTCAACTTATGAGCTCCATCTGATTCCTGGAGTCCGACTTGATTTTAGGGGTTGCCTGCTACATCTAGTACAGCCACTCATAACGCAAAAGGGCATCGCTGACTCTTTCGGCTGCACGCACAAATACCGTATAATCGTCCTCCATCACTTTATCGTTTTGCGCCATTTGGAAGGCTGTAAATCATAAAGACCGCATAGCGAACAACCTTTCAACAAAAATCTCAAGTTGAGCCAACAATTTGCTGAGTCATGAACATAAACGAGCAATTTTAAAATTGATATGTGCGCCAAAATCGCGAATAAAGATCAATTCAGGAAAATTTCTATAGACAGAGCATAGATGTGGAGAAATGTTACGTGTTAACGCAAAAGTTCACAGCCGACGCACTACCATTTTGGGGAGAATTTCTTGTGCCAGATACGGATAAACGTTTCACGCCTCTCACGACATCCAGACCGGCTTCCTCTCTCCTCTCGTGCGGGTGTAAATTTGGCAAGACCAAGATCTCATTGAGTGCACTAGCGCACCATGTACGGAGGTGCAAACATGTATGACCTCAAAACAGGCTACCCTGACACAGTGGTCGAGAGATATCCAAACCAATTGAAAGTATAGTGAAGTGATAGTACACATGTTTCGGAGCAAAAAGATTACCAAGTATTATCGAAGTATTTCTTCACGAGATGGTACCATGGAACGGTTTATCGCGCCCTTTTTTTAACATTTTGCTGTTTTTGCGTCAGTCGAGCCAAACGCATTTCTAAATGAGTGAGTCGCAATCAAATTTCTGAGAGCTGCTTGAAATAATCGGCCATATGCTATGGGAACTGCCAAATTTGCCGAATTTGCTCTCATGTGACAAGAAAGTTGCAATAAAAACCTGGTAGCAGTTTCGTCATCGTTGTCGCCACACGGCTGTTATCAGTGTGTGAGTAGTCAGTCAACGAGTCAACGGTACACATTGCCCTTCATGAAACGCCAGTTTTCACTGAGTTGAAATGGCCCAATCGCGCAGTCAGTTGCGCTCGTACATCAAAGTTATCGCCTTCAACGCGTAGCTACCCAATTCCCGAACAAACTGAACATGCCATCGTCTCCAAGGCTTGGTTTTTTATTTCAATTTCCCGTTTTCCGGTGATCGGAACTGTAGCAGCTGGAACCAATGTGCCTATGGCTATCGTTTTATAGCTGATCTACTAAAATTGAACTGAGTTGAAACCAGTCCCGTGTACCTTGTATTCTTTACTTGATTCCTCATTGATTTACGGTTCCCTTGGGTTAGTCTGTCGCATTGTATAGCACTGAAGATTTTTACAAAGATTCTGGTCATAAGCACTCTCTTCCTCTCACCATCAGCTTCGTCGTTTGCTAACAATGGATCCAGTTCGGCGTTTGTCAGCTGCTGAAGCCATGGAAGACCAGTACTTCAGAGAAGGAGCCCCTCCTAATGAAGAGTGAGTTATGATTGGCAGTTTAAGATATCTTTCCTTGGTTGCCTTGCGCATCCCTAGTATCGTTGACTATGCCCCGGGGAATAAAATTGACTTCTTTCCATCATTATCTGTGACGACAACCAGCGTAAAAGTATTGATTTCCGGGAAGTTAAATAAAATGGTGCCTTGAATCACAAATGTGGGAATGGATCGATGAAATGCGACAGTGCACAAGCAAAAAAGAGTTCCAAATTGACCTAGTCAGGCAGTTTGAGAATTCATGGATTTTTTTGGATAATCTGATAGCTACCAACCCAAAGACTTTGTTTGCTTTGAATCAAGGAACGTGGTTTTGTGACTTTCGCATCAATATTCAACCCTTTTCTCTAAGCTAACTTTGCCAGTTTCATGTGTTTGAAAGTGTTTTTTTCAGTTTGTTCCAAGCTTGTTCCAACTGACTTTTTCCCCCACCACTTCATTTGAGCTGACTTCCTGTTTTCTGACCAGCACGACAGGTCGGGAGAACTAGGCCAGCCGGGTCATTCATAAGCATTTTTTGAGGGTTTCCCAGCTCCGTGTATGAGAATGTACCGTTGCTTCTGGTATTTAAGCCTCATCGCTCATTCCAACAAGTTTACACGCGCCATCAAATTCAGGTCGCGTAAACATGGGGAAATTACCGCCCCGCCCCCGGTCTCATCTGCTTTGACATCCCACCCAACACGTGAGTGGAGCTCTTTGTATGCTAATCAGGCTGTTCATAGTCAGCCAAAAGGGTCGGTTGTCCCGTTAGTCTTTGTATTCAATAGTCTAGTTCATCTAATGAAATTCCTATTGCATTAACAAACTGGTCTACCAACCTCATTCTGTTGTGAATCACGTTCATCATATTCCAATCTTGCACGTACTTGTACTAAGCTTTCAACAGTATATTTTGGATTTAGATCAGTTGACAATTGATCTGTTAGCCGAACTTCGCACACACGTTTCGTCACCTTGAGAGGAGGATTTGACAGTGCGCATTTGGGTGGAAATTTCCCCAACTTCTGTTGAATTGGCCCTCTCAGAGTTCACTGACGATCTCTCCTCACATGGTGACAAAATGTTTGCAAGCCAATTGCCAACCGGGCAGATTAGCTTCTACCGGATCAGCAACCAGTAAACCCACTCGAGATACTGCCATCTGAAAGTATTGCCAATACTATATTTTCAGTGTGTTTGGCAACCTCCCAATCCCTTACCCGAAACGTGAGTTCATTTCGGATGACGATGCCGATGATAAACAAACTGGGGCGGGCGGTGCCGCAGACAAGAACCCAGGACAACAGACAACCCAGCCGGGACAGCGTCAGGGGGGCGCACAGCATACTGGATTGCACCATTCCGCGTTGCACGCATCGCAGCAACGGAGCAGCAGCGGTCCACCTCCTGCACAACAGCAACAGCAGGTACCTCCGACCCAACAACAACAACAGACACATCATCTCCAAAGCAGTCAGGCCCATGGCGGCTCTTCCAGTAGTCATCTGCGACAAATACCGCATATGCAGGTTTGTTTACTTTAGAAAATCTGTTTTTATAAGCATACTAAATCAGTACATAATATCCCAAAATGGAGAGTTTCATCCAGATAAATCTAGGGGCACCAAGACGCGAAGTTAGGAATCCGCGTGCGAAATAGTGTATATCAAAACCTCTGAATGAAGCAGAAAATCAACCATCGTTCAGCAGTATTTGTTGACGATTTCAGGAATCCAGTACACAAGGCTGTGAACGAACGTGGGATCCAGAGGCAGGCCTTGGAAGCTTTGTTTTCGAGCTAGCCTGACTGGGTGATAAAGGTTGCTCGACGGTTCCATGACTTACCGTCGTCTTTTGTTTATGTCTTTTTCAATTCAAGTTCCGGCGCTAGTCTTGGGTGTGACCGACCATAGCTCCTGGCAATCTTCCCACCCGCCGTCTTGTGCGTCATACGGGCGGGACAAAAACGTTTTATGATTGTTTGTCAAATGACCACAAAGCTTACAGTGCTTGAACGCTACCTAGCTTCACACCACACATTTTATCAGAAAAAAAGCTCGACTGTGGTGGCGAAAAATACCCCAGTGCAGCTGTACACTACGACAAAAGTGGATGCGATCCAGATATTCACTAACCAACAGCATATTCTTTGTCCATCACACTGTTTCTCCTTGCCTTTCGTCTATTTTGATCGATCTGGACAGAAAAACCGGTCGGTTTAGTGTTCACACATGAGCACAACCATGAAACGATTGGCAGCCGTACCCCACATTTGCGGGTCTGTTTCCGGGTTAGGTTGCAGCGGACTGAGCTGTTGGGTTTCAGTACGCGGTGGGGAAAATCAAGGCGCTTATCGCTGGATCAGATATAAAACGACACTATGGTGTGGGTTGAACCTGATGAACTGTGATGAGACTCGGTGGTTGCTCGTAGTTCGTTCAAGACCCGACGGTACCGTCAATGACTGATGATAATTTCTTAGTGAACTGATTCTTGGTCACGCCGCCACTTAATCAGGTGTTATGAAGCATGCGGACATAGTGGGGCTACGAAAAGCTAATGAGAGAATGCACCCATGCAACCGTTGATTTGTTTTCAATCACTTATTCTCATGCATTCGGGCGATTCTGTCCCCTCACCTTATAATGTCATATGAAACCATGATTAACTGCAGATCCTGTATCCCTTTTAGTCACTTAGTTTATCCTCATCTGTAACTCCGGCAACAACATTCCCCATTTTGGATGGTCCACAACCTCACTGATTTCCTTGAAGTTAGACCTGTTGTGAAGCTGTGAACAATAACAGCATGAACGATAATTGTGCCGGCTTCGGTAATAACTCATCCAATCCCATCAAAATACAGTCAGATAATCTATGTAGTAACCGTTATTAGGATAGCCTTCGATATCGATTTTCCCTTATCTTGAGGCGTCGAGTGATGTAGAACATACCATGAAAGTTGAATCACAATGACTATCAGCTTCACTCCCCTCTGCCAGATCGCCGGCCGCTCAGTTTTTTCTTTTTATGAAACCTTTCAGTAAAAGATTGGACCAAACCTTTTGGAATTCTTTCAATCATGATAGCCACGTGGTTTCACTAAGAACTTTTAAGTTGTGTGTCTACCAAACAACAATATTTTGCCGGCGATCAAACATAAGATTGATCAAGTCAAAGCTTGTTTAGAAACCCTTGAAATTTGGTCTGCTTGAGTGTACATATGTGATTCCTCCTAATTTTCACTGTTCCTTATGAAGCTCGCATTCTTTCTGCAAACACCGGTCTGCTACAACAGAGTAGTGGTTCTCATCAGTTAGTTTTATTGTATACCTATTAAATCTAAATATGGCTGCAGGCGCGTTTTTTTAACCCGCAAAATATTTCATTTCTTTGGTCTCTCTTTCCGTGGTAATCATGAGTGCAGGGCGCATGTTTTTTCCTTAACAAGCCGTAGAACTGCGTTGTCTGTACATGCTTGTGGTTTCCCCTAACAAGTCAGCTGTGCTTGTCTACGTACGCAGCCTAAATGGATTCATGGTCCTTCAATTGCTCCGCTGACTATTTGGTCACACGGCACGTGCTGTGACCGAACAGTTCCTCACACGGAATTCGCGACTTATACTGCTGATATTACCAGTTGTGTCTGCGAGTCTTGCGTATTTGCAGAACGACAACCCGCGAACAATACATCAAATGTAATTGTTCATCGTGTGCGGCAACCCCATCCCTTCGCACAACCAGGTCCAAGGCCGCTTCGTCTAGCAATTACGTCAAAACACCCTCGTGACATCCACCCTATTCCATTTTTATGTGAGTGTCGCCGTGGTACCTCATTTTATCCAGGAGCAACCGAAGCTTTCAGGAGAGCTCAGGGCCACCCTGACACTCACCCCGTCGGATTCCGGCCTATAATTTTTAGTTGCATTCAACTGAGGCGCTCTTTTCCAACAATGACCTCGAAGGGCACGTCAGATACATCTGAGTATTCAACGAACGATTGTCACATCAATATATATTCTCACGTAAAGCCAAGTGTGGCTAGATGCGTGGACCCTCACGTGAATCCAACTCTACAGTGCTCACGTGATCAGGTGACATGCAGTTTCGAAGTTTCGTTCTCCAAGCGTTCGTTCGTTTGTTCTTCCTTCTATAGTGCGCTTTCCTGAGTTGACCCTCTTGTTTGTTTTTTAGGCCGATGAAGCACCTGCTTCCAAGCGCATGCGCATGGGGCCTGCTCCAACTGGCGAAACTTCCAAACCTGGTGGTGCTAGTGGCAATTCCGACGTATCTGCAAGTTCGATGGCAGGCAAGATGCATTCGGAGCCTCACCCTCAACACCTGCAATCCACCATGGGGAATTATCCTCATCAGGTAAGGGAACTGTGTAATATGACTCTCTGAATGAAATTCCCACCCTTGAATTCACCTTACTCCAGTTGTGAACGAATTCCGACTCACTATGTGACCCACGCTTGATTACACGTTTGTTTGGTTAATTTCGATGAATTTTAGTTGATAGAACCAGAAAACGCATAATCATCTTAACTATTTCTTGCGGACCTGTATATTTATATGACCACACTTTACCCACCTTTCAATAATCGGATTAGGCGAGTTCTGAGTGGATTTCGAAAGATCCGGTCTCATAAGCCTTTTTTGCCTATCGGGACTCGTAACTTTGCTCATATTCACATTGATCTTCACCCTGATCTAATGGCCTAAAACAAATGAATCATAAATCGCTCAGCTGTAACACCCTTTCGGTGCCTAGCTGATACACCCCCCGAAAGAAGCACGATGGCTGGGACACTGTCAGGTTGCCCAGGCCTAGACAGGGGAAGTCGGGAGGCAGAGGTCGGGTTTGAACCACGGACTTCCCGGTCAGTAAATTCGCGCTCTAACCACTGAACCATCTCCGATGGCGTAGATCGGTAAAATTATGCCCAACGTTACTCGAAGGAAAAACACAAAGTCACATTCCTTATTGCCAGTATAACTGGCATTATTATAGAATATTGTATTTTCACCGAATGCAGCACCATTCATTGACTGAATGTTGTGTAAGCCACTGTAGCACCTTTGTATCATATAGGGGAGTATTTGGCTATCATGTGATGGGAGATCTTTATGGTTAAGTATTAGCCTATTCATGAAAATTCCCCTCAAACAACATAATCCCTAGTTAAGAAGTCCGTGTTTCGAACCCAATCTCTGCGTCTGGACTTCTTCTGTCTAGGCCCAGTCCTCGTGCTTCCTTGGGGTGGCGTGGTAGCTAGAGGCCGAAGGGCTCTTACAGCTGAACGATATAGGAGCACGATACTGTGAATAAGGTTTTCTTGTAGTCAGCTGCTGACAAACCGATTTACCTGTAGACTTTTGAATACTATCTGCTGACTTAGGTTGTGATAAACTAAACCTGTTGTCGCATACTTTTTTGAAAGAGGAAAACTTTTGAAGTGATCGCACCCGAAATCTCTGAAAGAACCTCAGCCAATGTGCCACAGAAGTCTCCTGATAGTAGCGTTGATGTTGCAAACAATAACGCATAAGGTCAACTTGAATTTCAGGAGGATACTGACAACTTATTCAATATGTTTAATGACAGGGGGCGAGACGGACCAAGTGGTTAGAGCGCGAATTTACTGACCGGAAGGACCGTGGTTCGAACCCGACCTCTGCCACTTGATTTCCCCTGTCTAGGCTTGGGCGACCTGGCAGTATCCCAGCCCTCGTGCCTTTTCGTATGGCATGGCAGCTAGGCACCGAAAGAGTGCCACAGCTGGACGGTTTTTTTGTTTAATGTCAGCATGTGCTGATGAAACAGGATTGTTGGTGTTTCCCTACATTAACGAGAACTGGTCGGTGCATCGGTATCAACCGATTAGTAGAATCGATCCATTCACAACAGAACTCTGATTTAAGTTGGAAAGGCGTTTAAGCTATCGGGAGATGATGGTTTCCGAAAACTTTGCTAAACGGTGGACTGACATCTTATTAGCCAATATTTTCTTCAAGACACAAAACCTTCGTCAGGCCAAGTAAGTCGACGCTCTGGTCTACTTCGGTTTTCAGAGAGGGGGGACCAATCAGAGATAGTTTCACACTATAACAGTAGGTCAGTGTTGAATGCCGAACAAAGGTTCTGTTTGTGATTCTTCTCATAGTAAATCAATTCCGGGGATCTAGAACCACTCTTTACATGATTGCCAGTTTGATTCACATTGATGCTTTGCGATTATGACCGCATCGACCGTCAGCTGCTGTAGTGTAAACCTTAGTCCTCGCCTCACATCTATTGTGCAGAGCGTCTACCACACGCCTCTCCAATGCCAATTCTTCATTAGCTTATACCTGATACTTATCTACCTTTCCCGGTTTTTCCTTCATTCATCGATTGTGTTCAATAATTCTACTGCGCAGTTCCAAGGCTGTTTGTCGTGTATAGACTTCCACATAGTGTTTGCGTTTAATATTGTGTACAAAGCCCCCGGTTCCGTCAACTTGGGGATAGCCCTTCAGTTACATCGGTGCTGAGAGTAAGGTCTTTCCATTCTGGAATGCTGCCCTGAGGCCGTTCATTAAAGGACTAGGCAGAAAACGGCAGCTAGGAAGGCACTACCATTCCCCATAGGAAAACTAACCCGCTCGTGATAGATGAACTGATTGAACTCCCTAGGCTGCTTTGGTCGCGAGCTCCGTATACCAGTCGACCGATATTCTGGAAGAGCGATTTTCGCAAAACGAGCCAGTTGGGATCAAGCAACAAATTGCCAGTGAAGTATGAAAGCCAGTACCAGCAAACCCAGCCGTCTCCCTTTATAAGTACCTCGAAACGAGATGCATCAATGGTTGGAGAAGTTAACAGACATGCTCACTGGTTTGCATGGTGCAAGCAAGCCTTCAGTGCATACCTTCCTTTCTCGATCTCCAGACTCCTGGGTTCAAGTGTCGTTTGTTTCATCTAGTGACGCCGTTGCGTAGTTATCCACCCGTATATCCTGAGATAATCGGAGAACGAAACCGTGACAACAATGAACACCGTACAAGATGAGTGCGAGTTTACAGCTGATAATGTTGATATTTTGAACGTCTTTGGTTAAAGTATTATTGGTCCCTATTTGGTGTCTTTCACACGAAGTAACCGGCATCATCCAACTTTCCTTTTTTCCGTTTTTGTCTCCGCTTGAGTGTTACTATATTCACGGTATTAAGCAGCATATAATTTTTTCAGAGGGGGTTGGTAAACAATCGGTGGATTTATTGCTGGGCAACACAGCACCCTTGGACGAACACAGGTGAACGAAATCTGTGAACGACCCCAAGAGGAATTTTCCATTAAGGTGTCCTAGACTGAAGAAGCAGGGCCGAAAAAATCCGGGTTCATCATAAAGACGAACCCCCCCTAACCGATCTATCGTAAAGCTTAGTCATCGCACTAATCAACAAGCGGGAACATCAGACTGAACACCCAGCACTGATCACGTCACTAGTCATAAGGAATCTCACGGATTGGTTCACTGACTGCCTTAAAACCCAATCAACCTACTTACTTACTCACTTGGCCTGACGAAGCTTTTTTGTTGGTAAACGTGGATTTATTGCTGGGCAACACAGCACCCTTGGACGAACACAGGTGAACGAAATCTGTGAACGACCCCAAGAGGAATGTAATTTTGTTTATCCAGCACTTGGAGGGTCAGGATCAGAGCTCAATGTAGTTCGAATTTCATACACTTCTCGAGAAACACACTTATTTGCAAATCGATTTGGTTTTCACCAGAGACTCAACTGAATCCCCCGTTTATGATATTCTACAACTGAATGTGATGCACATATAAAGGTAATTTGGGTTCAAGTAAAACACAGGGGTGACGGAAACTCGGGGACTGCGCCTACTTGATGAGCCCCAAGAAGGGCGAAACCGGTCGTGGGCTGTTGAAGAGTTTTCAGCAAACTTATGAGTAGTTTCCTTTATGAGGATTTATACACTTCTGTTTATGGATATTTTCTCAGCTGTGTTATCATGAGTGGTCTGCGTTCATCGAACTAATCTTTTCCTACTGTCTTCTCTTTCATCCAGTCTCAGCAGCAACAATCGTTACGTGGATTCCAGCCGAGCCACGTTGCACATTCAGGGTCGAACTACAATCGTTACCACTAAGATCACCTTGTACATCTTGTATCTCAAAATAAAGCACGCTTCTCTTACCCAGTAAATATTTTTTTCCCTTTAGATTCGGGATTCATCGAATTTGTATTCACATCAGACAGATCGTTCACATCGTTCCAGTATTAACATAATTCTTTGCTGTCAAAATTTATGGAATGCGTCCAGGATGCGTCTACCTCACATGTTTTATAGAGAGAACTTAATGCCCGTTGCGGCCGAGAATGAATGAATACCGCCAGCATCATAACCCGAGCCAAGTGATTTTCTCTGGCGTAGAATTACGAAAATAATCTCATGGCAAAAATGGAACGGTCAAAACTAGATTGATGAGGACCTCTGCACACACCATTCTCTAGAATTGATCGTCCAACGCGTTACGAAAATCGCACGCCCGATCACCACAGTCGAAATTGGCTGCGGTTGTGATATGTTTAATTTGCGCTGTCCAAAAACTTGTCACAGGTTAGCGTATTAAAAAAATCAACCAGTGTGTCCGGATTTTTGTCCGATGAACTGCCTTGTTTGCGCCTTGTGTTTAGATGTCGACCATGGCAGCCTTTTGCAGTGGTTTCCATTTGGTTAAATAATTTACTCTGAGCGTTTACATCCGCACTTGGCCCTTTGAGCACCTCCCAACGAATGTCTTGGGCGTATATGCTAGGCATTATCCCGCCACAATGAAACCAAGCAGGTGACTTCATTTCATTCATTTTCATCAGAGTCAAGCGAAACAGGTTGGATATCAACGAAGAACATCTTGATGATATATAGTACTGCATCTACTTATTCCTGTCCCACTCAAGTGCGTAACACATTGCTCCATGTGTGGCACTTTGGATTCTGTCAGGGAGCGCCCAGACAGAAGAAAAAGCACATGTGCAGAGAGTGACGCATCCCCAAGGTCACCATCGGTACGACACGTCCGGAAAGTAGATGAGTTGGCGGCTCCCACCTAACACGGCTTAGCAACACACGACCAGCGTAGTGGGCCTGAGACTGTTCACAACCGGAACACCACCATTGGCTGTATCGAAGGGACAAGTGAACGACCATATTTGGCCAATTAGTCATCCTATGTATTTACGCAGACGTTCTGTATGTTTTGTCCTGGCAATACAGCCGTGTCCCCAGTTCTCTGTCTTCTCCCTATCGCGTAGTCTGGGAGGCTCAGTGCCACATAGACGGCCACCGCACAATACAACAGATTCGCGAACGAGGACGCTTGAAAGTCGCTGCGAATACAATAACTAGTGAATGAAACCCATTCACATGTCCACTTGAGTTTTCGTTCAGAGCTGATTTCAGAAGGGAATCGTTTTTCTAAATCAACCTGTGCGTTGATCAGCCAATAACTGAACAATCGGCTGATTCACTCTCCCTTGTTGGTGCCCTCCGGAAAACGTGCCTCGTCTTGACTAGTTTAATGGTGTGAACTGATTGTCTAGGTTACTGACGATATATTTAAACTGGAGAGGTAGAAGGACACTTTCACACAAGTTACGGGCAGTTTTACCTTCCTAGTATGACAACAGTTTTCTTCCTATATGCTGTTGACAGTATTTTTATCAGTCAATGAGAACCGCACCGGACGATCCACTAAGAACCTCTGATGATGAACCTTTAGTTGACCAACTTACGACTGCTCGTCAGACACATCAGATTGGCAACCACTTACGAGGTGATGTGTATGATGTAGACTTCGTCCCGTAACTGAGGCCAATGTATTGTGAAAAACCAAGAAACACTATACACCCGTTTCATTCTTATTGGGAATCATCATTAGTGCTCATCTCACGAAAATCCGTGGAGTCTCGAACCTTCGACCTCACGGGTAGCAGTTTAACACTTAACCGTTCGGCCGCTTGCGGTCAGCACTCTGACAGAGATGGGCTATGTATCCGTGATGAGGGAGTTGTAAAGTGATCCTTCTGAAAATCGTCATCATTATGAAGCATGACATCACTCTATTTATTTGAGCATCACGGTAACACGGATGAGGAATCTTGGTTGTTGATCAGGTGGCTGTTGATCTGTTCGCCGAGCTTGGCAATTGCCTTGCATACATTTCATCACCATACGAGGGGACATTAGTGCGCAGTTGGGTGGGTACTTTTTCCTTACCTGTGTGCATTTATATAGCATTCGATGGCTATCTGTTATCTTCTGACGTGATTAATTACTTGAAGTGCAACGAATTTAGTGAATCTATTGGTCCATTTGTGATAACAGATAGCCATCGAATGCTATATGGATGCACGCAGGTAAGGAAGAAGTACCCACCCAACTGCGCACTAATGTCTCCTCATATGGTGACGAAACGTTTGCAAGGCAATTGCCAAGCTCGGCGAACAGATCAGCAACCAATAGACTCACCCGAGCTACTAATATTTCAACACATTACCATGAGGAATTTCTGTTTACTCACATTCGTGTTTAGTGCCCTAATGGGACGTCCTGTTTACATTGTGGAAGGTTTGCTCACTGAGTTTGTCCTACGGTTCGCATTTTAGATGGTTACTTTTTGGTAGATTACCGTCCACAACGACTGTGACCATCACAGAAGTGACTGTATTTCTAAGGGCCATACAAATTTATGTAGATTTTTTCGACAGTGCAGACCGTGTCTAAGCGGCTCCCTAGACCATAGTAAACACAGCGTTCAGTTTTCTTGGCTAGGTTAATGCTCAAAGGTTCACCAAAAGTCGGCAAACGGATCTGTCACATCTTTGCTGTGAATACCCTCATTATCACATCATACGGTGCGCTGAATGGAGGATATACGGCTCAGAGGGTTGGTGGTTCGCGAGATGAAAAGAGGACGGTTTGTTTGAAGATACCCGTTATGTGTTACCCGTGAGACTGCTTTGGCTAATTTTATACCTACTGTTGACTACAACATACGTGGCTTGTTCGAAGTGTGGCTTCAGTCGTAATTTGGCCGAGGCGGATACACAGAATGCCCAGTTAATTTTCTAGCATGTCTGAATTCATGTAAATGTCTCTTTTTAGTAATAAACTTGATACTATCCATGTTTACTGATTGGATTTTCGGAACAGAAATACAGCTAAGACCAATTTTATGGTATGCTTTGCAGATCTGTGTTGTCTTGGGATTTGATCCGAATCTCGATTGAGAGTGATAGGCCCTGTGAAATTCCTGGTTTGTTCTAAGGACAACCAGGAGTTTCAACCTTTTCGACCTCGGTCCAATTTTCCATCTTAACAAAACCACTTTCCTGGAGTTCACTGCAATTTAGAGGAGCACTCTGCAGCCACATGATTACTGTTATTTGAGGCAACAAGGATCGTAACTGAAAATTCCTGAAACGTATTCCAATAAAAGTATTCTGGGTAGTCAAACATCTGAAATAAGTCTTTTACAAGGCACGTAGTTTGCGAGTAGTTTACAATACTGCTTTCATTAAGTTCATGAACGATGAAGCCGTATCTCAACTATTGTAACTATGGATGTTACCGAAATAAATGAGACAATCACACCTGGGGCGAACGAATTCTTCTAAAACACAGTGTTTGCAGGAAACAGTCGGTCGCGTTTTCTGAAGCTAGTTAATAGCGTTTGAGCAGGAGAAAGCCGAGAGGACGGGGCTAGCGCCTTAGGAATCCTACATTTTCTAATAAGGTTTCGTAGTTTTTCGATGTACCTGAGCCTCCGAGAGTAAAGATGAAGCGTTCCACACTTATGACATGTTTCTTCCAGAATAGACTGTATCTTTGTTTAACTACAACACATTTTATACACTGACAATATCTCAAGCTGAGGTGCACACTTGTAGGTATGAATAATATTTACGAGCAATGCGGTCGGAAAGGCAATGTGTGGAATCAGTGGAGGACGGAGTAATAAAGTATATACATTAGAATTTGGCACCCCTTTATGTGTGCGAAGCAGAACCGCCTGTGTTCCCTGGTCAGTTTACGGCTTAAGTTAGTGACAACCTTACTATGCGGAAAACCAAACCGCAGTGGCCGGTTGATATATGGAAAGGAGTAATCTATACTGATTCTTGGCGGGACCAAAAGCCACTTGTCTACGGACAACCATTAGGCGGTCGAGCTTCACCAGCCGTAAATTCACGTGGAGATCGAGTCATCAGACACTCTGTATCTCTCGTCTTCGAAGTATACACCATCCTGGCCGGAAGGCCCTTCCCGAATAGCTGTTACAACCGTTCCCCTAACTGCCCCATCGGTCGACTAAACGGCTCCTTCGATAATGCCCTTCTCCCACTGCCCTTTGAATATCGAGATATCCCCCAATAAAATAAAATCGTCTTCATTGAGGCGCCTTCCTTGTTTAAGTCACTTTGATAATGTCCGCAAGGTTGAGAGGTACTCCTTCATCCATCGATTCTAGAATAATGTGGCTAGGCGGGCGCCATGCCTTCAAGTTTTAGCTAGCTTCCATGAGTCGAAGGATGATTGGCTGCTGAAGGATTGGCGCTCATGAGCAACAAGTGGTTTGGCTTTAGAGCTGCGTAGTCATTGGTGTCCGAACTCGGTTGTACTAAAGGGTTTTTGCTGAGGATTTTCTCGATCAAAGTCGAGCCTGCCTGCAACGTTTCGTCGTCTACCAGTCTGTCTCCCAATAAGACCCGCAAAATTCGTCTGATACTCTTCATCAACCACCTTCAAATACCTCCATGATGGCCAAATTTCTGTACGGAGAACACCCAGCTGCACTCGTGCCCTTGGTCGCCATCTCATTTACGGAGACATTTCTTCACGTCTAAATCGGTGCTGTTGTCCCTGTAAAGCTTTACGAGACTACTCCGTCTGGCGGCAACTCTTGAGAACGTGCATAGGAGCGAAATCGTGTTCAACGTATAAACCTCCTCGACGTGATCGGTACGGATGGTCACACGAGAGAATGCACAACCATATCGTTCCCCGGTGCCGCGTCCTCGTTTGACTGACTGGGACACGAAGCGATCCACCCCGGGGAGGCGGTCTACGACTGCAGTTCGTTCGTTCACTTGGATGGGGGAGGGCCATCATTTGATAGCACGGCGGCGAA